TCTTAAAATGCTCGAGCACATACCGGTCCCCATCGACTAGGTGTAGAAAGTTTTCTCCGTTTGTGTTTGATAAAGCTCCTCTGCTACCCGACACTAGATGGCGCTAGGGGCATTCATTATTATAGCTTGCAACATTATCATAGGTACTTGGCTTGTAAGATAAGAATTATTGATTAAGTTCTATCGATTATACCTGTATGGAGGGACTTAACTTTTACTCCAAAGATTCTTGTCTTTCCAATGAGTCTTGAGTCTAATGGCAGTTAAAGTCGCATCTTGTGTATGTGTAGATGAAACAGTGTTATAAAAAAAATATAAATTTCTTCGCAACCTTCCGCTAAACAAATACAATGATGTGTCTTACCTGGATTGAAGAGCACCTCCCGCCCTCCCTCAACTGCATGCACTAACTCCGTCACCACTAGTCCCAGCACCACTACTCCTAACACCACTATTCCAGGCAAGACACATCATCGACGATAATACGACACGTGTTTCGCCTTTACACGAGGCATCTTCAGGTAATGTAGACTCTACGGCGGCTGACCGCTAAAGATGCGGTGTTAGTTAGGAGTGGTGTTTTCATTCGTTTTGATCCACCAAACCAGAGCGCCGTATGTGATCATGGGGCGGATTACAGTTTTATACAGCCACTGTATAATATTTGGAGTCAGACTCCATCACTTGCCAATCATAATAATAATAACAACCGTCGGAACTTCTCCGCCAACTGGATAGACTACAGAAAGGCATTCCACTCGGTACCTCATTCATGGCTGAAGAGGATCCTCAAGCTATACGAGGTTGACTGTAAAGTTAAAGACTTCCATGGTACTGTGGAGTAACGATCCTTTGTCATCTAGGCGAGCGGATGACGGCTGTTTGAGTCCTATTTGGTTTTGCCTTTCTGTTTTAGGTTGTTTATGCCTTTGATTTTCCAGCTATAACCTACGGCTCTTGGGTCAGGGCTATGGCCGTCGTTGAAGCCTCCAATAACATGCGTAATCGAACCGACGCAATTTCGCTGTGGTGGAGGTTGGCCTGCATGAGGCTGGTTCTGGACGAAGGGCATGCCATCATTGATCGCGTCCTTCGTCCCCGTCCTAAAATTGGCCTGCAGCAGCTCAGGTCTCGAAACCCCACATACACGTGTGAGACCGCATCCGGCTTTTATCAGGGTCGGGATCCTCCGGCACTGAAACGACGAGGAACCACCTGTACCTGAGTAACCGCCAATCTCTGATGTTTTCCTAACGGTTCTGGTATGCCAGCACATGACCGATGTTGAAACCACACTTGATTCTCAGTGACATTACTGTTTCTTGTTAACCAGCGAGGTCTTGGATTTAAAGTTGAGTGTAGCGATGTTCCCCTTCAACCAATCCAAAGCCTTTTGTCGTCGCACCACAGTTTCAGGACTCCCTCCGTGTAAACGGGCTTGCCTCTAAAAACTGGGCCCGATGCATTAGGGTCCTGGCTACTCCAGGCCTGTCGGCAGCTTTTTTCTTTGCCATGTGACCTGAACGCGCACAATTTAAGGTAATACATATATCTGCTTTAGCATCGGAAGCGTAGCTGGTTCTTGTTGCTTTTGATCGCTGTTCGAGTCATACTTTTTTGTAGTCGCCTCTCGGCGAAGTGGACTCTTCCAGCATTCTTTTGGCTTGGCCATTCGCTGCTTCCTGGCAGATCTTAGAGCTGGTACTTGCGGCCGCGACTTCCAATTGGGCAGGATTTTAAACCTTCCCAGTTTCAGCGCGCCTACTGGTTCCAGCCCCGAGCACCGCAGTAACAGTAGCTTGCCCAGCCAGCTTGAGGTTGCCCTTAAAAGTAGCCAGCGCGGCCCTTTCTCCACGGCCTTTTTTCTCGCTGCTTCTTATTTTTTCTTAGCCCTTACACCGCTGTCTGCTGGAATATGAGCCACTTAATGGTTCGTCAAGTCGGCAAGTCACCTTTTTTGAGTGCCTTGCCCTTCCCCTTACAGCTCACCACTTGCCAGGCAGCAGAGAAAAGGTCTCTGGGCTTCCGCAGTAGTTTTGCTACTCGCGGTCCCTTGCTCATTTCTCGCGTCAGGCTCCTTAGGTTTGGAATTGGTTTTGGGAATATCCAGAGTGGAATTGCCCCCTTGGTGTGGCCACCTACGCTAATTGGTGCAGTCTGTGGAACCGTTAATTTAATGGCGGTTCCTCCTTATTCATTGGTATCTCTGGTGAGCACCTTTGACACCTCTCCCTCCTTTCTCATGGGCCTTAAATTGTCTATATTTTATGAATGTTTGAAATTCGTTCCACCGGCCTCCCACCCTCCATGGAATACCCGCACATTTGGGAGCCTCTACTTTAAACAAAGAATTTTAGGCGTTACAATTACCGGGGGAATAGGGATGCGAAGTTGGCTTCCCTTATCATCACTTGCCTGGTACCTTGACGATCACTATCTGTATCGCATCTTCTGTGCTACTTCCCGTTGCCATATGGAAGAATATTTTTTCTACTGCAAAGTTAAGTTTATCCTTTAATCTCTATATCTCTAACTTTTTCGTTAGAGAAATGTTTTATATTTTAAGAATTTCAGTAAATTAAGTACTAATTTTTTTTGCAAAAATAATTATCTAACTGTTTTATACTGTTATAATAGTACCTTATTTTATATAAACGCAATATTATATATAAGTAATATACACGTCCCTTGCACAATCTATCATAACATATTGCATTCCGGTGTACCGCATTTCATAATTCACTTCTATGTACAATATAATTTAACAAAATGATTTTTCATACACACACACACACACACACACACACACACAAAAAAAAAAATGCGCGCGCGCTCGTACGCACGCATGCACACATACACACTTTTGTAATTTTTGTAAATTTTGGTTGTTAAAGTCTAGTAATTTGTTTTTGTCATTTTTGGTTTTTTAAATTAAAAAATGTATGTTTAGATAAGGAAGAGCGGGATTTCCAAACACAGGCATTACTTGTTACACAGTTTGTTTCCGCGACCGTTACTAAGTACACACCGTAACCGTTTCCTCCGCGAGACTTATTCTAAAAACAGTGTAAATCTTAGTGACTACTGTCAAAACCGATATCTACTGGAAGCTAGTGTACAGCCCTCTCTAGTGCCGCAATCTGTTTTCTAATCCCTTCTATAATTAGGGAACTGTGACAAAAATTATTTTCAAATAATTGAGACCGTGACCTACCTCAACAAGTGTACGCTCATTTCGTCCATCGTAGTGTGCTACAAAGGTCAACGACCGTCGGCAGCCGAAGTAACCCGTAGTCACCCGAAGAGGCGACGAATCGACACGTAACGTCGTCGGCGTAGTGACTTAAATCGCTACGGGGATTGCTACGGACTACGAAACTTCTTCGTCTCTACTCATTTACGACTCGTAGCACATCTTAGTTTCTCCGCAGTTGCGTTGCTTGCCTTTGCACGTTTTTAGAAATAAAGTCACTTGAGCATAATATTTCAACAGCTACATAATATAAAATGATTTGTTTGGCCTGTCATAAATTTACCCGACCCGAGGAACAGCTGAATTGCTCTGCATGCAAGGGATGCTACCACTACAAATGTTACAACATATCCTCCGCTTATTACAAAGAAAATCTTCCAGCCTTAAAAAGGAATTGGAAATGCCATTCCTGTAATCGGATCACGCGACGCAAGTAGGACAACACACCTGTTCGTAGACAACTCTCTCCATTATCTACTGCGGCTTCGTCGCATGACACGAACATGTCATGCGACGAGGTTCTGGGAACCTCCGACGGGGGGCTAAATGACAGCCAAGTAAATAATAATTCAACTACGACCCCCACCCCTCCCGCTGCGGTTACGCGTGTTGTTGTAAGTTATCCATAAGAGACGACATCACCCACCTTCGCGAATGTCTCGACCCCTTGAACTCCAAACTGGCGGAGTATGATCGGCGAATTAAGTCACTTGAGTCCGTTGAAAAAGAAAATAATGTCCTTAAGGCCACCGTTGCCGATCTGCAGTCTCGTCTAAACAGCCAAGCTCAGATTGCCTTAGGAAATGAGTTGGAAATATCGGGTCTAGAAGAAACACCAAATGAAAACCCAACTCACCTGGTATTAACTGTCGCCGCTAAACTGGGCATTGAGCTTCAGGATATGGACTTGAATTATGCGCACCGAGCTGGTCCCAAAAACCAAAACATAAACACTAACGTGAGTGGGAACCGTAAACTTCATCGTTCCTTGGTGGTTGCTTTTACCCGTCGATCTAAACGTGAGGAATTCCTTAAACACGCGAAAGCTAGAAAAAACCTAAAGAGTAAAGACATTTTGAATCATGGGCTTGAAAATTTGATCTACGTAAATGAGCGTCTTACTGGCGAAAATCGACGGTTATTTCGTACTGCGAGAGCTTTCACCGTCGAACATGGCTACAGGTTTTGCTGGCTTCGAAACGGATCCATATTTATTAGGAAAGGGGATGTCAAGGAAGGTAGCCCCGCAATCCGTATTAGGTCCGAAAATGATCTCAGCCGCCTGCTCTGTGCCCAAACCAAACCAGATACGGCGACCACTCAGTAAACATTACCCGAGCCTCAAGAGCCTAGTCATTAATATTTTGTCACTAATTTGCAGTCCATATGGTCGCCATTTTTCTTATATACTCATCATACTTATCATAACTTTGAATTTAACTTTTCACAATTGTAAGCGCAATCACACACACATTTTAACACACCTACACATCTTCTCCCCCATGGTACATTCCTCAAATATTCGTGGTTATCTACACCCCTTCTTTTGTTTATATGGCACTCTCTTCTTTAATGCCAAAATACTCCAATCAATTTTTCACGATCTTCCCATGGCTTCCCTAGAATTGTTAGATGCTATAGATAACTCATCTCAGATAAAGTGCCACTACATAACGGTCCCAGAGGATTGTAAAGACGTTCTGTCTAGAATTTTCATTTAGGATTTTAAGCATGAACGTAAGCATGCATGCGTAAAAACTTTGATAATTTCCTAGTAACCCTAAAAAGGTTGGATCTTGATTTCGACGCTATTGTCTTCAGCGAGTGCTGGCTTAATGAGTTTGTGACGGTCCCCCTATTGCAAGGATTTACATCATTTTACTCTCAAAAGTATATTAACAGGGCAGGAGGAGTCGCTATCTACATAAGAGATAGGTGGTCAGCCAATTTTTCTGAGCTGAACGTTGACGAGGGTAATTGTATTCTCGCAGAAGTTGCAAATCACTTCTCAGTAGTAGCCGCTTACAGATCACCTAGTTACACCAACCCAGAAATATTTATTCGCTCTCTTGACGCTAACTTAAAAACGGTTAGTCCCTCTCCTTGTCTTATTTTTGTTGGAGACATAAACTTAAATATTATTGGGTCTGCAGCTGACATAAACTTGCACACGGAGTACTTAGATGTATTAGCAGAGTACGGTCTTTTTCCAGCTATAACCAAACCAACTCGGGTCAAAACCTGCATAGATCACATTTTTGTACCCGTAAAATCTAATGCGGAGTCCGTAGTCTATCTCAATGCTGCCACTGACCATGATATCACTATGGCAGGCATAATGTTAAAGACACACAAACCAAAAAGACCAAAACCTATTCGATCAAGAGTAATAGTTGACACAGACTCAATAAGATCAGAGCTGGAAGGAACGGACTGGTCAACAGTAATAAACTGCAGCTCTCTTGAAGAGTCTGTTACTCATTTTACTAAGACGGTATCAGAGGCAATATTGAGATATTCAAAAACTCGTGTAATAAGCCGCTCCAGAACTACCATACACCCCTGGATGACTCCTGGTTTAATCAGATGCTCTAAACACCGCGATAAGCTTCATATAGAATATCGCAAGGACCCAAACAACCCAACTAAAAAACTTATATATACGCGCTATAGAAATTTTTACATAGATCTAATTAGAAGACTAAAACGTGATTACAACAAAAAAGAAATAATCAAAAATAAATATGCTCCAAAAAAACTCTGGGGTACTATATACCGCATAACTGACAAAGACACTAGCTCAAGTACTCCCATGGCTCTCATCAACTCAAGACCCTCCGTAAAAGAGTCTCTCAATGTTTGCAACTCCTACTTTGCTTCTGTAGGTAATAAGCTGGCAAACTCTATCACGCTGAAATTAAATGAGACTCAAGAGTCCCTTGCCGAAAAAGTTCACATTCCTGATCAACCCGTTGGTTCATTATTCATGAATCCTACAGATGAACTGGAAGTTTTGGGTCTCATCCGGTCTCTTGATTCAGGTAGTGCGCCTGGTATGGACGGCATCACTAACAAACTTTTAAAATCAGTGGCCCACACAATCGCGGTGCCCCTGGCTGCGATATTTAACTTAAGTATCTCGTGGGAAGTCTTCCCAAGCCAGTGGAAAGTTGCGGCAGTTACCCCATATACAAGAATGGAGCTACGGAAGATCCTTGTAATTACCGACCCATATCACTCTGGTTATCGAAGCTCCTGGAACGTATTGTCCATAAGCGGCTGACTAACTATCTTGAAAAGAATAGCATACTCTCGGACCGTCAGTTCGGTTTTCGCCAGGGAAAATCAACTGAGGACGCAGTAACTCTTCTCACAGATATGTTTATAACTCATCTCGATCAGGGTCGATCCTGTGTCGGTGTTTTTCTCGATCTGGCTAAAGCATTCGCCACGGTATCCGTCCCAATCCTCCTTAAGAAATTAAGTACTCTTGGGATTCGTGGTCTAGCTCTAAACTGGTTTTCCAGCTATTTTTTTTATTTGGTTCACAAACGGAATGTAACGTGTACATGGTTCAGGTAACTTGAAAAAAAGTAACAAACAAACGTTCATTCTAACAGTGAACACGGCATGCAACAAGTGGACGAGATAACAAATACAAATAAAGAAAGGAAGAAACTCTAAAATAATAAATATTAATTAATTAATGGCTAATCTAATGTTAGCCCTTGCTGAGGCCATAGAACCATGAAAGATGTCGAACAAATCACGAATATTATTGTAACTATTAGTCATTCTGTATAATGGCGAGTGATGACCTGCCACTGTTTTACAGTGTGGCGTGACAAAAGTCTTTTTGCGGCCCAGGCGACTGTCAGCTCTAGGGACCGATACATCTAAATGATTTAAAATGTCCGGACAGTTGACGAGACCATGGATAATTTTATAGAGGAACATGACATCAGATGATTCCCGCCGCTTGGATAGTTGTTCTAATTTGTAGTGTGCTAATCTACTGTCGTATGAAATGAGTGTCCTGCATTGGTTATTTGCATACGATAACTGGTACATAAACCTTTTCTGAATCTTTTCCAGTCGGTTCGAGTGACACTTGTACCCCGGATTCCAGACTGGGCTAGCGTATTCAACAATAGTTCTCACCAAACAGTTATAGACTGGAATGATTAAACCAGGGTCTTTAAAAGATTTTATTTGCCTGGATATAAACCCGGATAATTTCGAAGCTTTTTTTTGTTATTGTGTCAATATGACTTCTAAAGCTGAGCGTGCTGTCAATTAAAACGCCTAAGTCTAGGATTTCCGTGACCTCACCCAATGGCTCATCGTTTAACTTGTATGTTGCCTCGGTTTTATTTTTCTTTCTATTTAACTTTAGATGAGAACATTTTCCAGTGTTGAGGATCATATGGTTTTGACGACACCAGTCGTATAATCTATCCAACTCTAACTGTAGAGCGGTCACATCTAGTTTGGAGTCAATGATTTTGTACAGTTTAAGGTCGTCTGCGTACATTTTAAAATTACATTCGATTATATTGGCTAGATCGTTTATGAAAATAAGAAAGAACAATGGACCGATATGAGAGCCCTGGGGAACGCCTGAAGGAATCTCTCTAGCTGAGGATGAATAACCACGCAACGAGACTAACTGTGACCGATTTCTGAGATAGGAATCGCACCAGCGCAGCAGTGAACCATGGACCCCCATTAGCATGATCTTCTTTATAAGCAAGTCATGGTTGATGAGATCGAAAGCCTTGCTAAAATCGGTGTAAATACTGTGTACCTCTTTATTCCTATCCAGTGCACATGCAATATCATTAACAAAACCGACTAAGTTAGATGTTGTAGACTTTTTAGGCTGAAACCCATGTTGGTTTGGATGCAGGCGCTCTTTGACGTGCCAATATATTGTTTTATGAACAAATGACTTTAGAACCTTACCGGGTGCTGGAAGTATGGAAACAGGCCTGTAATTGGACACATCGGCGAGATCTCCTTTTTTATGGATGGGGATGATGCGCGCCTTTTTCCATACGCGGGGGAAAATGCCGTTTCGGATAGAGTGGTTAAATATATAGGTAAGAGGTTTTGACATACTTTTAGCACACTTCTTTAGAATGATCGGGGGCAAGCCATCCAATCCTGAAGTCTTGCTTCCATCCAATCCCATCAAGCTATCTGTCGGATAGAAAGCAATGCGTCCAAATAGGCGATCAGGCAAGCGATATTAGATCTGTAGATTTTGGTGTTCCTCAAGGTAGCATCTTGGGGCCGACTCTTTTTATTTCGTACATTAATGACATTATGTCAATTCAACTTCAAAATAGTGAGGTTGTATGTTATGCTGACGATACAGCCATAATATTCTATGGTAAATCTTGGTACGACGCCTATTTTTCAGCCATCTCCGGGTTGTATAAATTACAAAAATGGTTAAATAACAACATCTTAACACTGAACACCTCAAAAACGCAGTTAATTTGTTTTCATAAAACTGCAGCGTCTGAACCGCCACCC